TGTTGTACCATTCTACTGACATTATGTCTTTGATATATGTGAGGTGTTCGGTGTTGCTAAATGTTTCTGTTTGTCTTTGGATTGAGATGTCTTTCGCTTGTATGTTTTGAAGTATGTCTTGAATTAGATTGGATTTTGTTGAAAAGATTTTGGAGCATTTGATGAAAATGTCTTCCTTCTGCCATGCTGTCTACTGTAGTTGTTGAATGCGCAGTTTGATGATGTATTCTGCTAAGTTGTTACTAGCATATAGTTTTTGCAGGTTATTGCAGTGTCTTTGTTGTTGTTTGGTCTCGATTTCCATTAACTTATATTGATTGCTAAGGTGTATAACTGGTGTGGGGGTTGAACTAGCTAAATGTACTCTTCGCTTGAATGAGTTGCGTATTCTTTTGTTGATCTATGATGTTTCTATTTGAGTAAGGACGAGATCACTCAGTAGATATTCTATTGATGGAAATAGGACATGGTTGATGATATAGTTGTGCATTTTGTCTGTAATGGCCTTCCTTGTCAGTTGATTACAGATGGCGGTGACTTTTCTTTTGATTAATTTGCATTGATGTGCTTTTCCTCTTTGTTTTTTATGCCAGACCCCAAGTACTCTAATTGCTTGTGTGCTTGAGATTAGCGATACCTCATGTTCTTGAAAGGTGATGTTGTCTTGGGGACCATTGATGATGAGGAGTTCTGATTTGAGTGGGTTGATGGTAATGTTATTTAGGTGATAGAATGATGCACTGACTTCCATTATTGTTTCAAGCTGTTCTTTGTTCTGTGCAATGAAGGTGGTATCATTCATGTATGCTGCCACTGAGATATTTAGTTTGGTTGAGCTGCAGTTGTCAAGTATAGATTTGTGGCATGTCAATTGGTAGCCTTGTAAAGTACTTATTTCTGTGATGAGGGGGTCATAGTAGATTTGCCAGAGAAGTGGTGAAATTGTGTCTCCTTGGTCGATGCCTTCTTTTATGTCATAGGGGTCTGTTTGATCAAAGAATGTGATAACTTTATTGGATCTGTTTGAGAAACAATTGTTGATGATATTGATGATTTTTTGTGATATTTTAATTCTGTAAAGTGCTGTTGTGAGGCGATCAATGTTGACAGTGTCATATGCCTTGCTCATATCTTGAAAGAGCATCAGGCAATGCTTGTTCTGTTCTTTTGCATCTTTGTGCACTTTATTTATTATAGGAATTGGTTCACGTGTACTGTTACCTAGGAGAGCTGCCCAGTTGTTTTCTGAGAGGATTGCGTTTTTGGTTATGATTCTTGTGAGTTTATTATTGATGATTTTGGTGAAAATTTTCTTGATGGATTCAAGTAGGGTAATAGAATGGGTAATGTTAATGTTGTGTTGCCAGTCCTTTGGTTTGGGTATGGAATATATTGTCCCTTCTTTCCATTTTTTGGGAAATTTTTTGTATATGAGGATGTTTTTGAACAGGATAGTTATGGAGTCTAAAGCTTCTTTACTAAGATGTTTGTAAACTAGGTATGGGATTTGTAAAGATTCAGATGCTGCCTTGTTACTAGATTTTTTGATGGTTTGTTTTATTTCTTTGGCGGTGAACGGGAATAACACCGGGTTGTACTATTCTTCTTTGATATGTGGAATTGGTTGGTATGTTTGTTGCCATACTATACCTTTTTGTTCTAAAATATGTTTTTTTTTTGTCCAGTTGCTGAAGTGAGACTGGACTGTTTCTTTTATTTCTTGGGGATTGTAGATGAGGATCTTTTCATTGCCTTCATGTTTGATTAATTTTGTTGTGAAGATGCTTCGTTTAGGGTTGTCGAGTAGAGTTCTGATTAGTTTTTTCTTGTCCATGTCATACCAGTTGTTTCAGTTTCTGAGAGTTTTGTTGATGTTTTCTCTGGTTTTGGTGTTTATATCTTTTTTGTTGACGGTTTTTTCCAATGCTATCAGTTTGTCAATTTCTTCAATGATTGCAGTAGTGTTTGATTCTGGTAACCATCGGTCAATGGGGGTCTTTTCATAGATGGCTTGGTAGAGGTTGCTCAGTTGTTCCAAGTCAGCTTTGTCATCATGTTTGCTATGCAGCTTAATCTGTCTTTTGTACTGTGTCAGTTGTATTAGGAGTAGTGGTTTGAGTGAATTAGAATTCTTGGGTCTGATTCTTTGTTTTTCTTTGTATTTATGGATGTGTTTTTTTGTTGAGCTCAGAATAGCTTGTCTGAGGTAGTTCCATCCTTTGTCAACATTGGTTGGGTCTTGTGTGAGTAATTTATTGAGTGTGAGTACATATGTGTCAAGATTTTCTATGAATGCTTTCCATTGTTCATCTGTCGTTTTTCCCAAAGAAAGCGAGTATTGGTGTTATGGTGTCTATTACGTTTGGCCTTTGGGTCAATCTGCCATGATTCGATGTATGTTATTTGAATACTGTGATCTATGGTAATGTTTGTATTTTCTGTGATAAATGAGTCTATAGTGCACCATGTGGGACGCGTATTTGTACATATCATATTAATTCTATTTGAAGAGGATGTCGAGTGCCAGGTGTATTCTTTTGCTTGAGGATTGTGATATTTGAATGTGTCGATCATCCCTAGCTCGTGGAGTTGTTCACAGAAGCTATTTGTTTTGTTTCTATATGTTTTTCTGTTTGTATTAATTTTGTCCATTTTCTGCGATGGGCTGATGTTGAAGTCACTACCTATTATTATGTGCCAGTTCATGCTGTTATACTGTTTGATCCATTTTACGATCTGTTTTTGTATTTCTGTTCTGAGCTTTCCAGCTCTGGCAAAAGAGTATATGCCGATGATTCTGCAATACAGTTTATTTGGAAGTGCAATATCTATGCACATGGCTCAATCCAAGAAGCATTGTATTTCTATTACACGGTCGGAGAGAGGTTTCTTGATTGCGATGCCTATACCAGCACCAATATTGTTATCTTCTTCTCACCATGTTGAGTAGTCTTCTGTTTTCCAGTGTTGTATATTGGTTTGGGTTCCATTGGTCTCTGTTGATATTATTATATCCCAGTCATTCATGTGCCATGTGGTGAACCAGGTTTTTCTTTTGAGGAGGTTATTTAGATCTCTACAGTTTAGAGTGGCTACTGTCCATTAAAGTTTCATATGGTTTTGTTTAGCATTGATTGAGTTGCGTTGAGAAGTGTTTTCGGGATGTTGTGGGATGTTTGGGTGGTTATATGTTTTTCCAGAATTGTTGCTAAGAAGTGAGGTGTTTGTTGTAGTAATGTTTTGAGTTGTTTTGTTCAAAATACTTGCATTTGTGTTTATGTGATCGGGGACTGTGGTATTGCTTGAGTTGATATTATTATTTCTTGGTGTATTGTTACATGAGAGTTATTCTTTTCTTGTTCAGTGGTTGTGCTACTTGTATTACCCATATTATTGATGTGTGGAGGGAAGCTATCTTGAATTGCTAGGAAGGATGTTTGTAATGATTGATACTAGTGCGTTCATGGTTCAATCCATATTTCCTATTAATCGATGGAATTGTTGTTGTTACTGTTGAATTTTTTGTATGTTCGAGGGTTCAGCTACTGCTGTTTCGATGTGATTGTCAGTGTTTGTGTTGTCCTCTTCCATACCTTCTGCATCAGCATAGCAGTATCATTCGAGATTGTCAATTCTTTCATCGAGATTTTCCAATGATTCTTTGATGGAAGTAAGTTCTTCGTGGATTGTGTTGAGGGCTGTGAGGATGTCGTCTATCGAGTCTGAGTTGTGTTCATTTTCTGAAATGTGATGAGTGCTTCTGGTAGCTGCAGCATATGATCCTGGTTTGGAGAGTTTGGTACTTCTTGGTGGTTGTGTTAGTTTACGGATGTGCATAAATTTGGCAGGTTTGAATCGATTGTATAATTTTCCGAATTATTGAGCTTGTTCGTGATTGTACTCATTCCACTGCTCTCTTCATTCTTTGATTGTGCAGTTGACTACAAGGTGATCAGAGCTGTCACAGATGGTGCAAAGTTTCGTGTCAATGGGTTTGCATATCAGGATAGTTTCCCCAAGACAGAAAGTTTCCTTTAGTACCTATTGAAGAAGTTGTTTATTGTCGAAACTAAGGACCGCATATTTCCTTGGTTTGTATGACATTAGCCAGGATATGTAGCAGGTTTTGGCTTGTAACTTTTGACAAATGTGCTTGAGGTTGAATGCATGGGTCCCAGGTAAAAGGTTGGTTAGCTTTGCGGACAGGGTTCCCCTGTTCTTCATTTCTGATAGATTCCAAGTTGTATCAAAGATCTTTACTGAGTCTGCTTTGATGAGGGTACTCCAGTATTCGAGTGTTTTGCGTTTATCTTCCAAGTTGAAGAATGTGATCATGGCTGACTGCCACATTTGTTGTGTTGTCATCTTGATGTTTGTTATTGGTCCAAACTTGGCGAATATTTGTTGCACATCTATGAACTTTGTGTTTAGGGGGATGTCCCACACCCTGATGCTCATTTTCTTATTGAGTCTTGCAATTGTTTTGGGAAGTGGTGTGAGTTTGGTGTTACTTGTTTCGGTCAGGTTTATGTTATCAACTGTTTCTGCAGAGTGATAGTCTCCGAAGATAGTAATGATATGATCGATCTCTTCTATTTGTTCACTTTGGATTGTAAAGAGTCCTTCGGGTGAGTTAAGTGCCTTGGTGAGAAAAGTGATTTTTTTTTTTATGGAGTCTCCTGATAGTAAATCTGCTTTGATTCCAAGTTTGATTCTCTCTCTGTCATATCTGACATTTCTATCAAAGGGAGAGCAGGGTCTTTATTTGCTCCCTTGTCTTGGTTCTTTTTTTGTGTGTTTTTCCTGGATTTGCCAATCTTGCTCTTCTTGGGAAGAAGTGTTGTCATCGAAGTCCATCTCAATATCTGAGTCATCCACTCTTGCTGGTCTGAAGTTTTTGGTTGCCATGTCCTTACCCTTTGCTAAAGGGTTTTTTTCAGTTTTGCGCTGTGTTTCGCCTGTATTGTGCAATGTCTTGTTATATGTGTTTTGCTCCTCTTCTACCTGTTCGCTCCAGGTGTATTGGGATCTTTCTGTATTGGTATCTTCTGTTGTTTTGGTGGTGATATCGTTGTCTTGAGTTGTTGTTCGTAAGGTATTGAGGGGTGGAGAGGTGGTTTGTTTCTGCAAAGCTGTTTGTTTGGTACTGGGTTTCTTTTTGAGTTTTTTGTATATTTCTTTGTTGATGGGGCTGGCTGTGCCTCTAGTGAGCTTGTCGATGTTGTAGTTAGGCCTGCTGGTTAAATATTGTGGTCTTTTGGGTCTCTCTATTTTTCAACTGTTGCTTGAGTTTTTGTGGTTTATGCTACTGCGCCACAGGAAAATGGGAAAAAGTTAATGTTATCTATTTAATAAAAACTTGTTTATATCTTATTATTAATATGCTTCATATTAGTTAATTAAATATTAGGTAATATTGGAAGCCACGTGTCATAGACTTCCTAATATCAATATAGTAACTTATTGCTATATACGCCAAACAGAAAAATAATACATAACAATATTTATCCGATTATGTGGTTAAAAAGACATCCATACAATAACAATACATGTTAAATTCTTCATATCACGTGTCAAAATGTCAATAAAAGAACAAACGATAATCAAAATCCTAGAGAAAAGAGAAAAGGAGCTATTGAAAATATTGGGGAAGATAGCATCTCATCAAGATCCTCAACAAGCACTCTGGGAAACAAGAATGATATAGCAGAAATTGAAACTAACAACAACTATTCAACCTCTCATTCCCACTGAATCAATACAGGCTTCCTTGATATTAGATAATATTATTGCCAATCTATTAAGGATAGATCCTTTGATGATAGTGAAAGAACGTATACTGCGACAATATATTCTCTCTCTCTGGGAAAAGGGGCGAGGTAAAAAGGAAGATTTGGAAGCACCTATGCTGGAAGAAAAGATGTACAACATGTTGACAAGCAAGCCAGTAATACAGGCATCAAGCATTAATCAAGTTGAAGCTTCTATAATGGAAAACATCCCAATGGAAGTTCAATCAACTTCCACAGAACTCGAAGAAACAC